GAGTTAAAGTGAGCTTATCCTGTTCTCTGTTGCTAGTATTATTAGTCTGTCCTCTTTTGTGGCTGTACAGCAAAATTAGCCCCACAGTCATTACAACCATTTTGGTGAAGGAGAAAACCAAAGTAAATGCATTGTGCACAGCTAAAGCTGATCATTCAAAAATGATAGCTTCTGTTCATTCAAGGAATAATTAAATCCAAAGTTGCCTATTTTCCCCCTCTGTGGGGATATGTGGACCAAGAAGTCATTGGCCCTCTTATCCAGGTTCACAGACATTGTACAACTTGAGTCAGTTTCATAACATGGCTTTGTCATCCTGAAAGTGCTATACTTTTTGTCACAGTGTTTAAAACTTGGGTGGACATTTTTGATTTGCTCTTGTCCCTTTATGTGGATTCTGAGGAGGCAGATGCTACAGAACTTCCTTATTTCTTTGAGCTCTCCATGGTGCTGGATTTGAGACTTTGATTTCTGTGGCAACTTCCTGACTTGTGATATTTGGAAGATTTTTTTTTTTTATATATAGCATTTTCCTTCTATGACTACACATTTACTGTATCTCTAATTATTTTCCAAAGTCATTTAAAATTTTTTCATTTAATTTTTCATAATCTTTTTGAGCAATTCATTTTTTAACAATTGTTTAAATAAATACTTATTTTTGTATAAGCAAAATTGTTTTTCCGGAGATTGAGTGTGATCATTTTCAACTTTGGCATACTTAAAAAGGATACTTCATGTGCTGTATTAAAACCTTTAGCCTTCTATTAATTAAATGTATATATTTCTTCTTTGAACTAATCATTAAATCTGTAACACAGTAGTCACAGTTATAATTATAATAAAAGGAAAATCAGCATATGTCCAGTAAATAAGTTTTATTTTATGTTAATGATGTGAGGTGTCAGGACCAATTTCTTGGAGTCATATTAGTTAGAGAAGATTGTACGTTATAAACAAGCAGGTAGATATTCCAAGAATGCAATGATTGGTGTGAAGTTAGCTTTGATTATCATTCAAAGCTATTACTAAATTCCAGGTGACAATATTTCTAAAAATACAACTCAACTATTCTTAAAAGATTTTTATGCAATTCAACTTTTTTTTTAAAAAAAGTATTTATTTGGAAGAGGGAGGGAAGGAGGAAGAGAGAGAGACTGGCAGGCAGGTAGGCACTATCCACTGGTTTGCTTCCCACATGGCTGCAACACTGCAACAGCCCGGCCTGGACCAGGCTAAAGCCAGGAGACAGGAACTGCATCCTGGTGTACGGCTTTCTCAGGCGCATTAACAGGAACCAGGTTGGAAGCAGCAGAGACAGGACTTAGGCAGGCACTCTGATCTGACATGTCAGTGTGGTAAACAGTGACTTAACAAGTGGTGCCAAGACAGTAGCATTAAGAAAATGATATGGTTTCATATATATCAGAAAAAGTAAATTGAGACAATGTAAGTTAAATAGAGTGTTTGTTTTTATAATTAGTAAACAGCAAAGTCAGGATTTATACCCAAATGATATAGCTCTACATTCTATCTGCAGTTACTATTTTTCCTAAAATATACACACATAGACATAATCTCCCACATGCTTTCCATAGAAATATGTACGTTGGTATCTTTTGAAATTTTTGTTTTTATTTTGTTGGTGAAAATTATTTATTGAGGATCTTAATGTAGCAGCTGAAAATTTCACTTGCTGGGGATTAATGAGTAGTTCTCACTCTTTCTTGCTATCAGCAGTCTAAGAGGGAGAATATTAGACCATGGAAAATTTAGGCCCACAAAGTAGCTAGTTGTAAATCTTAAGTCTAAATCATATATTAAAAGGGTACACATTAGTACCATAACATTTTATTCATGTACCACACAATCTATTATCTGTTTCCTGTTACAGAAATATACCATATTTTTGGTTTAGAACAAAGCGTAACAATATGAAATCATTTTAGATCAAATGTGGTAATTTCCAGGTGAGAATTGCTTGTAACTGAGCCTTGCTTTACAAAAGCAAGCATAAGATGACTCTGCAATCTTTTCATTGTCTTTGGATCTCTAGCTTTACCTATTACACCAGCATCTCAACAACCTTTATAATCCTTTAAATCTTATTGCTGTTGCCCTCAAAGCCAATTAAAAATTACTATTTAATTCAGACTCACTGCTCTCATGGTGAAAGTCATATTAGCTATGGTGTGTGCATAATGATGTGATGTGAGAGTCATGGAAACTCTTGGTTCTTAAGATTATGATCAAGAGGATTACTTCCAGTCGGAGAATATAGTGTTAGAGTAAAGAAGGGGGTTGGAACATACAGGGAGGAGACTGCAAGGAGGCAGGGTAGGTAAACATAAGGTCAGCTCTGCCTTGTGGTGTTCTAGGAGAGGGAAGCATCAGAGAATGTTGTTTAGGCACTTGGGTTCTCTTGGATCTCCTTCCCTGAGCAGGTATCGAGAGGCTGCCTTCCCTCTCTGCATCCTGTGGACATGGTTGATTGGTCCTTGTGATCACAAGCTTTGTTTCCCCAGCAGGATTCCTGTTCCCTTATATTATACATATGCACTGTTAGTAATTTCAGAATTGGTGTTTGAACCTCTGTTTTTGCCTCAGTTGGTATGGATAGTAAGAGTATTGATTAGAAAGTACATGAATCCATTTGTGATCATTTCATTGATGTGTGTAAAGGAAACTTACGTAAAACACCTGTGTGAAACTACCTTCAAAATTTGTCCACCAAATTATTACCTAATTATAAAATGAGTCTCTGACTCATTTGACCATAACAAGTTGCTATTTGTTGGGTTCTACTTTTTAAAAAGTCCATCAGTTACCATATTGTCATAGGGAATGACCATGAACATTTAGATTATAATCTCTAAAACTAGAACATGAGCAAACCCAGGCAGGCTGTGCTCTGGGCAGCAGTGAGCTGAGAGTACATGCTCTCAGTCTGCTATGTTTACTGGCCTCCGGTTCCCACATGGCCTGTCAGGTGTTGGCATTCCCTAGCTTTGAAAGACCTTGAGTTTGCTACCTGCACCCTAACTGTCCATCACAGTCATGTACTGGGCCAAAAAATTGTAAGTGGAGCCCACATCCTGGAGTACTGTATGATTACCAGCACACACCAAAAGCAAAGCTAAACTTGAACCACTGCCTCTTGCCCTGTGTATTATCGGTGGTGGAGAAAACGTCTAAAAGCATAATTCTATTGACCCAGATAACTGAAATGTTCCTAGATAAATAGCTTTTTGTTATTTAAACTAAGACTCTTGTTTAAAATATTAATCTTGAACCTGGTTTATGCTTAGATTTTGGGGGGACTTTAAAACATCTGTAACTCGATTAATGTGCTTACCATGCCCCAAACTGAGCTTTTGTACAATGAAATGGAGTGCAGCCAAGATATTGATAAACAAGTGGTATAAGACATCATCTAGTAAATTAGAAATATTTCTACTGGAGATGATCATTCGGGACATTTCAAGGGACAAAGGTTTTTTTTTCACCTGACACTTTTGTGACTGCATTTGTTAGCATTATCTTACCTAGTTCTGCAAAATGTTAGTTTCCTAATATACCATTTTATATTAAAAGAGTGAACACAGAGCAAATGTAGATTACACTGCAAAGTGTTTGATCAGTGTGTGAATGCATTTGTCACATTAGGTAGCTACTGTGTAAGGTATTTTGAATGTCTGCAGTGAATACAACTTTTTCACCACAGAAAATGTCAGGAATGTTCTAAGATAATATGGAATGTGATTCTCCATAGTATATTAATACACAGTGAAGCCACACTGACAGCCCCAGTTTCATGCATTCCTCTGATCTTGGTTCCTTTTATTTATTCTTTTAAACCCTGGTTATTTTTTAATCTAGAATGCTAGATTCAAAGACCTAAAATGGCTCCGGAATTTAATAAAAAAGATATTCAAGGATGTTTTTATAGTACCTTGATACTGTAAATCCCACCCATCTACACCTCATTGAGGTCTTATTTTGAATTTATTTATCTCCAGACACGAAGCACAGCAATTCAGAGTGAGCAGTTGTGTCAGCTGCTCACACGACTTCAGTTGTGCCAGATTCTGCCCCCAGCAATGTGAGCCAACTTCAAACAGAAATGCACATGAATAGTTAAAGGAAAATGCTGGCTACCACTTGTTGGCTGTTTCTGTGAAGGAATATATCTGTAATGTTTAGACACTGTAACAGTCCATACGTGGCTCTGTCTTGACCATTACATGTTTTATTATCTAATTTGGTTTTTCTGAGCAATACGTCTATTTTCCGATATTGTAGAAAAAAATACATAATTGACTAATGATTATCTTCCAGAGAAGACTGCTAGTAGTCCCCTCTCATCCAGTTATCAGTACATCTAGAAAGTGACACTGAAATATTTTCAGTTTGATGTTTCATTTATCTGACTGTAGGTGTTGTGATGTTCACTGAGGACTGGAAACAGCGGCAGCACACTGGCTGATCATGTCAAAGGGAACTGGGTTCATGCAGACCTTTTGTTCTGCAAGACGATAATGGAAATAAATTATGAAAATAAATCTTCTATTGATGGTTTCAGTCCTGTGGTGATGAACAATGCCCTTAGCTTGAGAATAAGGGTGTGACTGTCCTGTTAACTTTTTCAAAAATATTTTTCCTGCAAACATCAATCCTGACCTGTAAAACTGACTGTATCTTCGAAACAATAAATCTCATTGCACATTGGATTTGTTATTTATCAGTGAATGGATAGTTAGGTGAAAAGAATTAAGGAAAAGAAAGACCACTTTCATCAGACTTGAGTTTGTAGGACACAGGGCAGAGGTAGACTCCCTGGTTTTAGCAGAAATGGTTTGTAACTTGTTTCAATATGGGTCTCAAGAAGTCATTTTTGGTATGTCTTTGTGGGGGACAGGGAGAGAAACTAGAAAGCAGTTTATGATTGATGACAGACTCACATGTGTTAAAACAGCACCTTCTTGCTCCTTTGATTTCAGTTTACAAGCATTGAGGAAAGAGAAATCCCGAGATGCTGCACGCTCCCGCCGGGGAAAAGAAAACTTTGAGTTCTATGAATTGGCCAAGTTGTTGCCTCTGCCTGCAGCCATCACCAGCCAGCTTGACAAGGCGTCCATCATCAGGCTTACAATTAGCTACTTGAAAATGAGGGACTTTGCTAATCAGGGAGACCCCCCATGGAACTTGCGGATGGAAGGCCCTCCACCCAACACCTCAGTGAAAGGTAAGTACAGAGCACAGTTGAGTATGGAATACTATGGTGGTCAGCAGGTGTCTCTGAGATAAATTGTTTACCATCATCCTTTCTTCTTTTCCTGCATATCAAACCCTTTAAAGGGATACAAATGTGGAAATCTGAAATCTGCATGAGAAAGACACCATGTGAAGGTGAAATGAACCTCTTTTTCTATTCCTGCTTTATTTTCAAAGAGTCAGTCAGCCTAAATTGTCTGCCACTTTATGGAAGACTTGGCAGAGATGAGAGTGAATTGGTATGCATTGAACTGCTTCTTGGATTTCATTGAGGATGTGCTAATAGAAGTGCGTTCTTCTCAATGGGTGATGTGTGGGAGTTTTTGTTAGAGGGTGGAGCTTACCTTTTCTGCCCCAGATAACCAAAAGAGGATGAGGAGCAGAGATCCACCTTAGCAGGCATATTGAATTAACGATGTTGTTGATTAGCTGAGATCAATCTTGGTGTTAATGGGTTGTTTCTCTAAGAAAATATTGCCAAAGAGCCGTAAATGCCAATCTCTGTTCCTCAAATCCTTGATGTAGTAACACAAAAAACAACGATTTTAAAGCTATAACATTTTCTCGGTGATTTTCACAGTGAGATTTTTCTCATGGGTTCCTAAAACTGCCAAGAGTTTATGGCATTCCCAGACCTTGAATATGCATGCGTATGTTTGTTGATATCTGTGTGATGTTGGTCATTGGTTGTCGGACTTTGAGTTATTTAAGATGTTTGGATTAAATGATTTGTTCGTGAGCATATAATAAAAGGTGGCATTCATAAAAGTTGAAGACAACCCCCTGGGAGCAGGGGAACTAAAGTTATTTAGTCTTGTCATTCCACGTTGCCAGCTAGCAAAACGGTAGCATATTTGGTTTCATAGGACAGGGTACATAGTGGTGAGAAATTGTATGTATCTTTTTCCAGTATGTAAGCTGAAATGCAGAATCAGGAACCATGAATATTTCAGGCTTTGGGGGCTGCACACTATGCAAATGAAAGGATATGGCTTTGTTGTGTAGAAATATCTTTACTAAAGAGTTCAGCAGTCACCAAATTGGGACCTCTGGTGATCTTTATTGGAAAAAGATTTATTTTTATTGGAAAGGCAGATCAGATTTACAAAGAGAAAGACAGAGGGAAAGCTCTTCCATCTATTGGTTCAGTCCATAAATTCTGCCATGACCGGAGCTGAGCCAATCCAAAACAAGGAGCCAGGAGTCTCATCCAGACCTCCCAAGCAGATGCAGTGTCCCAAGGCTTTGGCTCCCCTCTACTACTTTCCCAGGGAGCTGGGTGAGAATTGAAAGAGCTGGGACATAAGCTAGCACCCATATGGGATCCCAGCACTTGCATGGTGAGGATTTAACCATTGAGCCATTGTGCCAGGCCCTCAAGCCATTTTTGGTAAAGCAAGGCAGGAGAGTGTAAACACACACTTGAGTAGAACACACAACAGGGACACTCCCAAGGTCTCAGGACAGGGTAGCCCAAGACAGGTGAACCAAAGGCTATTGATGCTGTCCTTTCTGCCCTGGACAACGTGGACAGCAAGTGTATAATACATCCTACCGCAGGTATGATGTGCTAAAGTAGTAAATGTTGCCAAGCTAAAGAAATGAGTATAATCCCGAGAAAGAGTTTAGGTCATTTTAGCTCATCTTATGCAGTTGTCATATTCATTCCATGTTTGGGATGCATGTAACAGATTAGGAGTCTTGTGATGTGAAAAATCCTTTATTATTCAATTTGAAGTGTTTATGGACTGGGCTTGTATATATTCATTGTAATGATCCTGTTTCTGTTTTTTAAAAAGACTTGCAACGAGTCAGCTGTCTTGCTAGACATGGGCACAAGGACAGAAGAATCGGACATTGCTGTGGTCTGTGCATTCTTTTGTGAAGTCACAGACCATGCTACTTTTAGAGTGATGGCTTTTTGGACATGCAAACTTGCACACCCCATAAGGCAGTTCCTTCATTGCACAAGTGGTCTTGATGACTCTTAGCAGATCATGAATCCCATTTTCCTGCCTTTCTGGCCTTTTGGTTTTTTTCACTATGCCTTGCAATTTTCATAGGTAATAATTGTTTACTTTCTCCACCATGAAACATTTCAGATAAGCATTTCCTCAGCTTTGGCATGTGGCCTTCAAAAAGCTCACATTGTGGGCTTGGTGCAAAGCCTAATGGATAAAATCCTCATCTTGAATGCATCGGGATCCTATATGGGTCCTGGTTCTAATCCTAGTCAGCCCTGCTTCTAGTCGAATCCAGCTCCCTGCTTGTGCCCTGGGAAAGCAGTCGAGCACAGCCCAAAGCCTTGAGACCCTGCACCCACGTGGAAGATCCGGAAAAAGCTCCTGGCTTCAGCTTGGCTCAACTCAGCCGTTATGGCCATTTGGCGGGGGTGACTCATCAGGCACAAGATCTTCCTCTCTGTCTCTCCTTCTCTCTGTATATCTGACTTTCCAATAAACAAACAAATAAATAGATATTGTTTTAAAAACTCAAGTTGGAATCAGTTACTATTAAGATAAAATGCAGTCTCTTCCAGCTTGGGAGTTAAAGTCTTTGAAACTTTGTCGCTGTCCAGCAGTGAGGGACTTGGTGTACCAAGCTGAATATCACACACCATGACTGATGCTCAATAGCCAAATTCTATTAATAACAATACACTTTTAAAGACTGAGAGTCAGGGAGGCATAAAGAAGGAAGGTCTGAAACAGGATATGGTTTATGTGCTTGTGTGGTAGGGAGGTCACTCAGCGGACAGTGTGTTTTTCTAGCCAGCTACTAGGAATTCAACAGTGTATGCATGAAAAAAACTAGAAATAAAACACCTCTCTTCTGCTACTAAGGCTCAAGGATCCGGGAGTTCCTACACTCAGGTTTTTCCATTCCACCCACTTTAGGACCTTTGCCCTGAATTCTTGGGGCTTTCCCATCAGGTGACAGCTGGTGATGGTCTTATACCTGGGAGGTTCCCAGTTTTCCTCCAGCAGAGTAGTACAGTGGTGTCATTGAGACAAACGAGATTAGGGTGGATGTTGAAGAGTGTGGAAGGGGTAACAGATTTTATTGCTAAAAAATGAATCTTGAAAAAATTGCATAGCATCTAAGTAGTTAGGGGTGCATTTTCACCATTATTTAACTGGCAACAGGGTGCAACTCAACATGAAACCTTGTGGCTCCATATTGTGTACTTTGGATCTCAAAAGATGTATGGAATTCAGTGGGAACTTTCTGCAAACTAGTTCTGCCAGCGATGTATGTACATTTCATTGTTTTACTCTGGTTCTTTAATGCACCAACCACTGTAACTCACTCTGATCAAACATTCATGAAACAACAGTATCAAAAGAAATGCATTTTAATTTATTAAGGTCTTCTGTGTTGTGCCCTTGAAGAAGTTCATATGGATAAACAAGCTTATATAAATAGCCTGCGGCATTGTGTGAAGTACAGTTCATAATCCAACAATAAAACGTAGACATTATACTTCATGCTTCTCCAAGCAGTATCTTGAATAAACCTAATGGCGTCGGGGAATTTATATGAAAAGTACTTACAGTATATAAGCAACATTTTTTAACATGATGAGCTGATTATGTTAATAATTAAATTTCTAAGCTTAAATTTCAATTTGTCCCACACCACTATATAGAAATTTAATCACTTAAATTTACTGCCTCCAAAAGGTCCTTTCCCCTGCCCTGTATTCATCACATCTTTTCTTTACAGTCTATAAAGGCTGATGAGTTTGTTTTGTGATGCTCCTTGTATACAGATTATTACACATTATGCCTGCAGAAGGAACGCTCAGGTGACAGTGTGTAATGTGTCCTGAGTCAATTACTTCATGGAAATGATATGTTAAGCAATTGGAAGGTAACGGATAGTTTTTTCTATTATTTTAGAAATATCTGTATTGTTATAATACAGATCAAATCTGCAATGAACATTATGCATTATTCAAGAAATGACCAGGCATTCTCAGCAGTGTGTAGCTAAATAACTGATGATTGTAACCTTTAAAGAAATCTCATTGTGGCGACTGTTGGTAAACCACTTCTCTATTCATAGTAATCTCTATTTAGAGACTATCTAGAAGCCATTATATCTTTTATTAATCTTAAAAGCAATAGCTACTGATTTGACATTTGCTAAAACTAGATAAATTTTCTGTCTTCCTAATGTCATAGACTTCAGTCCATGTTTGGAGTGTGTCTGCTGCTACTCCATTAATCTGGGAATATTTCCCATTGTAAACATACGTTTGCTTTCAATTTTAACGTCGCAGCTTTTAAACAACAATTTGCCTATGCGTGTGACAGGCAACAATGTGAAAGCATATAAAATGAGAGACACTCTAGTATTTTTAAAAGAACAGATGAAAATGTACCAGACAACCAGTGACTGAACATGTTAGAGAAGGACTTTATTATCTTTCATGCAATTGCTCTTCATTGTCTGGGCATCCATTGTAAATTAAGTAGTAGATGTTTCTGAGTAGAGACCTGTGTGTCTTTACGAGGGCAGCACATTATCTAACCTTAGCCAGGGAGCCTAGTGTTTATTAAACAATGATGATATAGGGTAGCGGATTAAAGGTCACACTCCAGAGTGATGCTGAAGTATCCTGTTACGGTGTCCCCAAAGCTTGGATATCCTTTTGTGAAATAAAGTGGCAGAGATTTGAAGACTTAGTGAGAGGTCTTCTTAAACCAAGCAACTCAAAAGTTTTCCTATTCACTGTGTGGCATTTTACAGTGCGCTGACACACATCCATTTCAACAAAGTGACACTCATTCTTGGGAGGAAGTGTCACATTTCTCATTACTGAAAATCCCTGTGAGATCAAAGTTCTTAGAATGAGTTCTTGGGTATGCACGCCAGTCTGTGGCAGTCTTTGCTTCTGTTTGCTTTTTCTAGTAAAATGGAGGAAAAACCCAGACCAGGCCTTTGATTTTGAACAGGAGCGTCTTGTAAGGCCGAGAGAGTAGGTTCAAGATGGAGGCTTGGTTTTTTTTGATTCTTACTCTTGACCCTCTTCATCCTCAGTAGAGTGACAGCCTCTCTGCTCTTGTCTCTAGTACCGTTTGCTTCAGTCCAAAGCCAGTGGTGGCATCAAAGGAAATCAAAGCTATCTG